ATAGACCACGATCTCGCCCTCGTCGTTGCGATACGCCGCCCTCTTCCGCAGCACCTTCTTGAGGTAGTCCTCAAGATCAGCGCTGGCAGGAAAGCGGTATGCCATGGCCTCGAACGTACTTATCTTGTCCGCGGCCATGGCCAGGAAGTCACTCTCATGGACCTCGAAGCTGACAGCAGCTCGTCCGAAGGCCAGAGCAGACTTGGCATCCGCCATGTTGGCAGGACTCCCGGGTTCGGGGACGTGGGTGTTTGATCCACTCATTGGGGCATCGGCACATGCGTCTACAATAGAGGTGCACCCGTCACGTCCATACGAAAGGACATGGATCCCCAATGGACGCTCCAGCATTGCATGAACTCTTGCGAACTGGGTTGCATGGCTACATGGTTTAAACAATCATGCTGGCACCCTAATTTTTGCATCACATCATATCGGTCAGCCTACAGATCCTCCTCTAGCACCTCTTCACTGTGCAAGGTGCACCTGTGCCTACTTGCTGGATCAAAGCCCTGCTCACTGGGGTTCAGATGTCCTTCTACCTGATCGCCTCTGCATCGTCGTCCGCAACGCAGCACAACCTTGCCCCCCTTCTTCAGCACGAAGTCACACAGCAAGGGGCACGTGGATGCTTCTGCATTTTTTCCAAAACACTTGTTGCAGAGCTTGTAGTTCATGCCCCAGCTGTGGTCCACGCCGAGTTCCGCGAACCTTGAACCCTGGCTCCCACACCTTGGCATGTGTTCGTCCCCGACTGAGGGTTTATGGATCTTTCCAGCTCCCGAGGCGAGTTGCACGAAGGTGTGGTGCATCTCTAGGTCCGTTGTTGCAGGGTCGCCCTCACTGTCATCAGAATCAGGGCCCCACTCGACGGCATTGGGCGATGTCTCAACGTGCTCGATCGGGTGGTCTTTGTAGTACTTGGCGGCCACATCTCTTTCCTTTCCCAGGGTGACCTCCAACTCCTCCAGGTCCTCTGCACCAGTCCCACGTAGCGCAGGGGGGAGTTCGGTAACAGGGACTGCGCAGTCACCGCTGATCCTACGCTCTCCCTGTCGATCCTCCGTGCAGACAATGGCGCGCCTCATGGCTTCCGCTCCCGAACCCTCCCCGCCGGTTTCAGGCAGCCTATTCTCCTCTTCGAGGGTCTCGACCGTGGCCCAATCGGGCTGTCGCATGGAGTCAAGCTCCTGGCCCTCCAGGGTTTGAATCACCGCCCCTCGGCGGATTTGATCAAGCACCTCAATCTGCGCCTTCAGAACCAAAATCTGAGATTCGCGGAGGTACAGGTCTGGCATGAGTTCTGCCGGGTCCTTCCAGGCTCCCTGGAACCTCACCGTCCTGGTGGTGACTTTGAAGTGGGTCATATAAGTAGGCATGGTCGTCTTGCAGCTGTGCCACCTCAGGTGCAACGCCTGCTCCCTGGGCATGATGTTCTGGTTTCCTCCATCGATGTCGGCGAGAAGCGCGTGCTTCACTGTCAGGGTGTCTTCAGAGATCAAGGGTGGATAGAGCTCCCACCCTTCCGATTTCCCTGCTGCCCTCCCGACGAAGGAATGGGTACGCCAATCATGGCCGTGCATCACTAGGAGGAGTTCCACCCATCGGATCAGCCACTTGTCGTTATCCGGATGAACTCCCAAGAGGCTCGCAGCCCACGTCCTGGGGCCGGATTTGGTGTATGCTGCTTTGGCACGGAGTCCCAAGACTCCCGAACTTCCAACCATTCGGCACCACTCAACGTCCCTCATTGCTGTGCCTGCCAGGTCGGAGTGACGGATGCTGGATTGCGTGCACAGGCGGAGCTTCCCGCAGGCAATGCGAGTCTGCAGGTCCCGGGCTTCGTCAAGCACCACCGTCTCCAGCCAGTACAGGAATCTGATCTCGAAGAATGGTGCTGGCCTTCGCTCCGGGGATTTTCCCACGTAATCAGTGCAAAGCCTGCGGACACGGGGGTGGGCACTTCCGGGTGAGTGGTACCCGAAAAGGCCTCCGAAGTACTCCACGGCGTAGAGGAAGCTTCGAGGGGTATAAAATCCCACTTCCTCTTCGATCAGGCTGATGACAAAAGCCTGGATCGCTTCAAGCCCCATGATCTTTGGCCCGGTGACTGAAGGGGTCCCATATTTGATCTCGTAGGCTTGAAGATAGCGTGACAGGAGGCGCGCATACCTAAGGGCGGTGCCTGCTGACTTCGGGTCCGTGTACCTGTGGAAGAGCGCGGAGTCGATGACGCCATCCCTCGAACTGACCGTCTCCACCAGGTCCATCTCCACCTCATGAATCACGAGTTCTTCAAAGAGGTGGGTTGCGAGCTTCCTGAACTCCTCGAGCTTGGCCTCTTCGAGGGGACGGCTCCGACGGGGAAGGCCTAAAGGGACATAAGGTGCGACTCGAGAAGGAATGGCCTCGGACCCGCTCGGCTTTTCAGCTTTCTTCGAGAATCCTCCAAAGATGCCTACTTCATCCAGGCCCTTGGCGATCCTACCTGGATCCAACTCTGGCACAACTGCCGATGGCTCAGGTTTCTCCTCAGGCTCCTCCTCTTTGACTCGCAGCTGCGGAACTTGAGGAGTTGGTGACACCGCCTTCTTTGCGAAGCCCAGAGGCGAGAGTGCCGCTCCTGTCGCCCAGGTGGGAGTATCCCGGGAGGAGCGGTCCGTGGAAAGGTGGGGCGTCGAAGCTGCTGAGGAAGAGCCCTCTGAGCTGGCGGGTACCTTGGCAGGCTTCTCCGCCTTCTTCTCGGTGGTCCAGCTAGGAGGTACCACCCCGGAACTCCGTGGTGGCCTCTCCTCTGACAGAGACTTCGCCACTGGCTCATCTGCCTCTTCAGATTCTCCCTGGATCTCCAGGGGCTGGTCACCTTCTGAACCACTCCGGATGGCTTCCAGGATTTCATTCGAAGGGACTCCATTTTCGATCATGCGTGCGATCTCCTCCCTTGCGGACCATGCGCCAGCCGCGAACAGACCGCTTGTCCTTCCTAGCTTGGCGCGGTCCCTTCGAGGGGATGTATCGACCCGTTTTGCACTGGGTCCTCTCCCCTGGCTGCCGCTGCGACCACGGCCTCCCGGGGGACCGAACACGGTCAAAGGCCTACCGGCGGGGGGCCGCTCCTGTGCCCACGCCGGAACAGACATTTTTCCCCCCGCTGAAAACAAATCAGCGGAGGCCTGTTCGACTGCGGGGCTTGACCCAAAATGGCCACGTTGTTCGCCCCGCTGATCAGACATTTACTATAGTACCAGAGGCACAATCTGTATATATGCGTGTGTGTGTGTGTGTGCCACCTGAGTCACCCCTCAAAGAATGTCTCTTCTGCTGCAAAACAGTGACCTCCAAATGTCGTTGAACTGCTTGTCTTTCTAAACACTTTCGCGCACATGGGCCAAAATTGCTGCAGTGCAGCAAATCCAGGCTCAAGGTATGTTCAAGCATCAATGTGATGAGGACCAATGAGGACTGTGTTGCCATTTGCACGGTGGGTTCTGCGGCAAAAGGTCTTGACAAGGTGCAAACCCCAAGTTGATAGGAACCAACTACCCCTCATGTCCTTTGCCGCTGTGACAGCCACCAATTGCATGAATAAAAGGGCTTGCCTGGAAGGTGATTGATCCTGGTGGTGAATAACACCAATGTATACTGTAGACTCTTGGTTAATCAACCACCCCTTTGAAGAGGATGTTCAATTGGCAGGGGTGTATGGTCCTCAAGTTCCTCAAGAGTCTACATCACCTGACTGATGCAGAAAAATCACCTGGAGATAGTGAGGATGCATCCGGAGGACTGACCCGCCAAATCACTGGACAGCTCCGCCCGCCCAGCACCCGAGAGGGTGTGCCACAAAAAGGTCGGCCCCCACCACAGCAAACGACCGACGAATGGATAACGCGACAAATGGATGAACATGGAGGAATCACACCTTGAGAACGGCTCTCATTAGTAAGAACGGCTCCCAAAACCTGAGTGGTTTGTTGGCACCTGGCAATACAGTATATAATTCCTCATTCAGGGCAAGAGAAAGTAAGGAAACATGGGCATCCCCGGGCGGCATCCCCCAGTTGATCAAGTAGCTTGACATCCCAGCAGCGCCAACTCAAAAGCTGATAGAACAGGTAAAACGGGTGTTTATAGTGTTGTTCCCAAATCACAGGGGGGGAGATGTCAAACGTATTATCGTTGGCCAAACAGAGCCTGCACGGTAGAGGTGAAGCCTCTGCAAAGATGCACTGATTTCAGGCAAGAAGGACCAAAATGCTGCTGGAGCGATCTCATCTTCCTCTACAGCATGGGATCCACATGGGATCTAGAGGAACCATGATCCATGATCCATGAGGCCGTCCGCAGCAATCTCCCCTGTATCCGAGCATGTGATGAGACCCCCTCGCATCCGGCCCTTGCATCCCAGTGACCGTTTCTCTCCAGCTCGAGAATCAGGAGCCCAGCAAGCTCCGCGCCGCTTGAAACCAAGCACCCAAGTAAAGCTGTGCTGTAGGGGGGGACCCGTAGGAAGCACAAATACGCTCAGCCTTGGGGTGGGAATCTGTCAAACATGTACGAAAATTTGAAAAGAACTCGTGCCATGTGTGAAATCTAGTTGCATATCCCTCACATATCTTGTATGTTTGTTGTCATTTTTGATGGACAGTCGAAGTGGAAAAGCAAGAAGCTGTAAGCAACCACACCTTGCACTTGCAAAAGCCGTGCGAAGCTACTTCTGGAACAGCAGGTTAGAAAATATTACGAGGCCAAAACTGGCCGCCAGTTTTTGGTCGGTCACCTGGCTCTACTGCTTCGTCTCAAGACTACCCGTCTATGCAACAGCCAAAGATTCCAATGAGTCAATAAGTTTTTGACTCGCCTGTTGATTGAAGGGCTAGCTTGGCTTTGAGAAGTGCAAGGAGGGGTGACTATGCACTACACCGGCAGGGGGTTCAAAACCATTCTACTGTGCCTCGGAAAGTGCAAGGAAAGAAAAACAAGTCTCCAGGTTCCCAAGCTCGCGCTGAAGAGCTTCTGTTTGCGCCTGGCAAAGGCTCTCTTGGTGGGCATCGCAAAAGCGCTTGGAAAGTGTTCCCTCGGAAGCTGCTCTCTCTTGCTGGCTTAGCGAGACAACATGCGATGACATCAATTGAACCCCCAGTAAGAAGAAGAAGAAGAAGAAGAAGAAGAATGAGTCCTTCAATGTCCCAACAACGATGGCAGTACCGCGGCTCTGGGTGCGTCTGTCTCTGAAAACACACACTTCAAGAGCAATCCATGCTGTTCTGATGCCGGCAGTTGAGCCGCACGGGCTGGAAGAAAGGCAAACTAATTACATCCATAATATCCCTACCGTTATGCAAGGAAGAATGTGATTTATTGTAGGGTTACATTTGTGAAGTGCCTATTTGTTGAAAGAGCAGCGATAGCTGCAGTGATATTATCAGTGCCATAATGCTTCCTAATACAGTGCAAATGGTGGCTCTCGTTCGTACGTCCAGTGGCGTTTGCCCCTTACAAGAAAATCCTCTCCCAACCACGGGGCATCCGCGGCATGGCCACCCGGTGCCAGACACCACCTGCGAGTCCTGGAGCTGCTGACCCAGCTTTTGAAGCCTTGGAGCCAAACGAAGGACCTCGTGACCTCCATCCCAACAAAAGTTGAAGAACCTGACTGTTCGACTATCCCCTAGGTACCCCTGGTTACAGGTGCTAGTTCAGGTCACTCAACCTCTCTTGGTCATTTGGGGAAAGTGTTGTTTGGGTGGTGAGCTTTGGGACGGTGCATATATACCGTAATCCAGCATCGACCTTAATTTCACGGCAGTTTCAAGAAGTTGCCTCTGGAAATGATGGATTCCGTTCTTTTGTTCAAGCGCCGCAGGGCTCTCAAAGAGAAGTTGATGCTTTGGCAATCATCGCACTCAGCAGTTGAAAGTAAATCAGTCATAGTCCGGACAGCCATTGTTTGGAAGGCTACTTTGGGGTGATTGCAAACTGGTCCGGCTCTCAACTCTGGAAGTTGTCGTTGTGGTGACATATATAGTGAACACTTGCGCTCATTCATTCTTACAGTTCCCAGGGTGATCTTTACTTATATATATATATATATATTTAAAAATAATCATCATATCTTTAAACTATTTGTCCATTACATAGCTCGCTCCTCTGACAAACATGACCCTTGTCCTCGCGCAAAAAGATTGGAATGAATTCCCTCTAGCACAATGTGAAGTGCAAAGGCGGTGTGGCAAAACACAGTGCGCTTGGCGGCAGCTTGTATGTCCAAAGGCGTCTTCCCATGTTTCTTGCCCAAACTAGTGTTTCTTTAACACTGACACACATAACGCATGTGCGCATACAACCTTGATCCCTCTGATAGTATTGGGATATTGTCCATTGTTCAATTGCGCCCGGATGACAGGATATTTATGAAACAAACATGCAAGCAAAACCGGTCAAAGTGAATCTGACGCTCCACGCTCACTAGTCAGCATATCTCCTTCTGCCTGCCCAGCCAATTGAGATGGACTTTGGTACCAAATTTCACAACAGCAGTACCCGAGGAAATCCATGTGAGACTGTGAGACTATGACTAAGGCGCACACCTACACACTGGCAGATCTGGTTGCAACATTGGGGGGAAATCAACCACCAATGCTACTTTTAATTTGGGCAATTTTCGGAGTCTTTGTGGGCTCGGATTAACTAGGGCAGGTTTATTAATCCTATGTTTGCATTGTGACATGTGTTTCTTATTTGCAACCCTGCCCGCGAAAAAACTCGGTCAAAACATGTCAAAACCATGGATTTTCGCGAACACATCATCGTTGCAGAGTTTTTGGGTTCCAGAAGCGTCCCTAGTTTACCAAACCCAAATGCGGCAGCTCGTCCAAGCCCCAAAATCCCAAGCGCCTTTGCATGCTGGAGCTGTTCCTTGGCAGAAGACCACCTCAGCGTTCCAGAATCAACATGCGAGGTATCAGGTGTGTGTGTGTGTGAGAGAATCTACCGTATCAGGCATCTGGTGTGTCCATAAAGGGGCTTTGTTTTTGTCCTTGCCATCCAACAAAGTCTTTGACAAACTCCCCAGACGGAGGAACACTCCCATACTCCCAAACTCAGTGGAAGATCAGTTCTCCATGGGATGTCCGTGGGATCGTCGTCTGCGGTGGGGTGTGGGGATCGACCTGTTCTGCTCACCTATTTGATCCAAATGAGCACCACTCATCAACCAATGGAAACAGGTCTGACAAATTTTGGACAACTCAGAAGGTACACCCGCACCGGTGCTCAACCCACTCAACCCACCGTGGGCTCTCCCCGCTGCTGCGACAAGCGCTGCTGGGCGGCCTGCAGGGCGGCTTCGCGGCGCTGCTCGGCTTGGATTGGGAATGCCGAGCTTCTGTAGCTTTTCTTTGCCAAGCGGGACGTCCCTGCAAACCCCCCACGTTACTCTCTCCAAAGGACTGTTATGGCTTTGGCGCCAGGAGCGGGTGAGAATGGCCTTCGCAGGCGCCAAAAATGCATTGCTCAAATGGCGACCCCAAAATAAATAGGAGCTGTATTAAGTGTATAATTAGAAAAGTGACTGCTCTGTAAACAAATAATCATGGGAACCGTTTCTTTTTTGGGGGGCGGCTGGAATCATCTGGAACTCAACCAGCGCCTCTGCCTCATCAAGGCTCTGTTGTAGCTCTTTCAACCTCAGCGGCTCTGCCGGGCTCTGCCGAGCTGTTTCTTTTCGCTCCGGTCTTCGCTTGAAAAAGCGGCCGAAACACGTGTCTTGTGTCTTGTCAACACCTTGGTGGGAGTGTTGATGTGCTTTGGGAGCTTGATTCATACTCAAACATTTGTTAATTCAAACACGCTGGTGAGTTAATTCAAACATTTTTTTGAGCATATTTTGGGTAAACATCTTTAAAAGCATTCTTGAGCTGGGACATGCAATGCCTGAAAGCCCAAATTTCAATGCTCGTTTCAGTGAAGCATGTGAAACACAGCTCAGCTGCACAGACTCTCCACGTGCTCTAACTCTCATTATCATTATGGATCTTTCTGCTGGCATCAAAATCTGCCGCATCAATCGCCTACATCTTCAAATGGAAAACACTCACAGGTTTCACCCTCAAAACCCCATGGTGTTGAGCCCTGGCCGTGGCGATTGACGCGAATATGTTCGAAATATGGCTGATTCCGTGGATTGGTCTTGGACGCGGGACCCGGCCTCCGGCCGAACCTGACTGGGCGTCCGGACTGGACAGATTCCGACTTCGCCAGTGCCTCCTGAGGAGTGCGCGAACGGTTGCGCAACCATGACCCGAAAAGCAATGCTGTTGATGGCCAACGTGAGTGACACAGTTTCGAAACCATGACGAAGTGAGTAAGACACATGACAACTGCCTTCATCCCGCTTGCGAAAGCAACATCCGCCCTGGAGAAACCAGACTAAAAGACTCCCTGGTGCCCTTGGCAGTCAGCGACTAATTGGCGTTTATTGCGGGGCCTTGTGACCGAAATTGAACTACAAGGCCAAGCTCCACCGCATATGTGACAAGTCCGTTTCCGAATGGTTCATCTGAATCATCTAGCAGCAGTGTTTCACCAACCTCGTTAGATTTGGAACTTAAAATACATGGCCCCCTAGTTTTGTGCCAAACTATTGCGATCCGTTTGGCCCATCTGATCTCCAGCTTCGTCTTCTTCCTTGTCGCACCGGCTTTCTCACCCTTGCACTGCCCACGTTTTCGCCACCCAACGATGCCCACCGGGCCATCCCTTTTGCGCTCCTCCAGTTGAAGCACCAGCTCCTCCTTCTGCGCCGTGCGTCGCGCACACCTCGGCCGCTGCTTGGGCTGCGGCCGTGGAGGACCATGAGGGCCACCCAACATGGCTCCCTGACTCCCCTGACACATGTTCCCGCTGATCTGAGCTTCTGCCATTTCTCCACCGAACGAGCCGCCGAACTCTGCTTCCAACTGCTGTCGCTCTGCCTGGAGCTGCACCTCGGCCGAGAGCGAAGCGAGGACAGGGGACGGGTGCAGCAAAGCGCGGACAAATTGGATTCAACTCACCATGTACATTGCACGATTCCTCTGGGCGGGTGGATTCATCGCCTGATCCTTCACTCCTAGATCATTGAAAGTATTCTAAACGACGTCCTAAACATTCACATCAGGTGCGTCAGTGGATCGGCATGGTGAGGCTCGGTCGCTTGGCCGCGTTGACCGGCCGCCTCCAGGCAGGGCGGCCCCGTGATCCCCTAGCCCTCGAAGAATCCGTGCTGTTGCCAGTGGTTTTCAGAGTAGATGTGGCACAAACCCTTACTGCACACATGTCTTTTCAGATGGGGGTTCATAAAGACCACCTTTTGGGGGATTGCGCCATCTACTCTGAAACCACTGTACCCTCCTCACTCGGCACAATTGCCGGGCACGATAAGAGCTGAGGAGTGCACGAGCTGGGCCTGGAGAGGGCAAGCGGTTGATTGGAGTTGGTTCTGGCCCTCGTGTCCATGAAACTGGGGAGGCTCAGCTGACCCAACACGGGCTTCGACACGAAGCTGGCAGCCGCAAAACGGGAGAGATGGTTCTGAGCCTCTCGAATGATTCTTGATTTGTAAAACGTCAGAACCCTCCCAGGCATGGATGATAAGACCTCTTCAGGCTGGTCTGGGCCGTGAACTATCATCAAGAGTCTACATTCGCCCCATGCACTCTGAACTGATATGATATTATATGTTCATATATGTTCAACTGGTAAGTCCAGTCATAAAGATCGCTCAGGGGGTTCGTGACTGTCTCCTTTGGCATTTGGATTCCCCTTCGTCTGGGTGCACCATCGGTTTCTTTGTGGTCTAAAAATGCAATCTCTCTTCAGAAAGGTCAGCGTTTTGGAAGCACGTGGATGGCCCGAAGCCCCTCCCTTCGTATATGTGTTCCAGAATGGAAGGCAACCAAAAACACGAAGACCAAGGACGTTGCCAAAGCCTCCCACATCAAAGTTCAATGACTCCAGCCTTTTTTCTCTTCACTCCAACCTGCGGCGCTTCAATGACTGAGATCCGCTGCTTGTATCAGGTGGATTGATGTGGGATCTTCTCTCAAGCAACGCTTGCACGACGTGCCAGTGGCCGCGGACGGCTGCTAAGTGCAAAGGGGTTAAGCCATCCGAAGATGTTGCTTCCTGGTTGGTTCCGGCGACTATTAACAAACACGCCACTTCGACATGCCCCATGTCACATGCTGAGTGCAAAGCTGTATAACCATCTGCATCTGTTGCATCCTTGTCGGCTCCAGCCTGAACCAACAATTGCACGACTTCCAACTGGCCGCTGAGGGCTGCCAAATGCATAGGGGCTGCGCCGTCTGTATCGGCTGCATTCTTGTTGGCTCCAGCCTCAAGCAGCACTTGTACAACTTTCGCATGGTTTTTGTAGGCGGCCAAATGTAAAGGTGCTGAGCCATCTGTGCGTGTTGCTTCCTTGTTGGCTCCAGCCTCAAGCAACAATTGCACGACTTCCAGATGGCCATTGTCACACGCATTGTGCAGAGATGAATCACCATTTACATCGATTGCATCCTTGTCAGCTCCAGCATCAAGAAGCACTTGCACTATTTGCAAGTGGCCACTAGAAGTCGCCCAATGCAAAGGGGTTGTGCCATCTGAACATGCTGCATCTTTGTTGGCTCCAGCCTCAAGCAACAATTGCGCGACTTCCAAATGGCCATTGTCAACCGCAATGTGCAATGATGTCTCACCAGCTAAATTTGTTGCACCCTTGTTGGCTCCAGCCTCAAGCAGCACTTGCACTACTTCTGAGCAGCCCTTGTCACATGCAAAGTGCAAAGCTGCATCACCATTTAGATCGATTGCATCCTTGTTAGCTCCAGCCTCAAGCAGCAAACGCACTACTTCCAAGCGGCCACCGCAAATCGCCCAATGCAAAGGAGTTGTGCCATCTGAACATGTTGCCTCCGTGTTGGCTCCAGCCTCGATCAAGAAACATGTCACTTCCATGAAGCCTTGATCACATGCCAAGTGCAGAGGTGCATTGCCATCTGCACATGTTGCATCCTTGTTGGCTCCAGCCTCAACCAACAATTGAGCAATTTCCAAGTGGCCACTGTCGCATGCTTGGTGCAAAGGTGTATCACCATATACATCTCTCGCAGCCTTGTCAGCTCCGGCCTCAATCAACAACTTCGTAGCTTCCAAGTGACCGTTGCAAGCTGCCAAATGTAAAGGGGTTCTGCCATCTGCACCTGTGACATCCATATTGGCCGCAGCTTCAATCAACAATTGCACCACTTTCAAGTGGCCCCTAGTGCACGCAAAGTGCAAAGCCGTATTGCCATCTTCACATGTTGCATTCGCGTTGGCACCAGCTTCAAGCAACATGTGCACCACTTGCGAGTGGCCAAACAAACCAGCGATTTGAATTGCAAATTGGCCCTCTGTATTGCGGACGTTGGGGTCCTGTGGCTTTTGAAGCAAGCTCTCAACTTTACCCTGCTGACCAGTGGAACATGCACGCAGAAGGCTCAAGTCGCCTAAGTGGCATGGATAATAGTTTAAAAAGACCAACTGCAACTCAGGCCATGTCAGCAAAGCCTCGTCATCCTGCAACTCACCCTTCTCACTCAAAAGCCTTTGTCGAAACCTCGAGTATCCCAGCTGAGCTGAAAGGCGCCTCTTCAAGGCTAGGACCGTTTCGCCCTTCTCCACCATCTCCTGCAGTTCATCGTCATCAAGCTCTGCAATGGTGCTGCCCGAGATGGCACAAAGGCGCATGGCTTCCACGTGGAGTGCAAACAAGAAGGCACAACTGCAACGACGATTGGTCAATAGGGAACATCGGTCAACATGCACAGGGTGAACATCTTGATATATTATATCATTACCTTTGATTTAGCCGGAGCAACAATGTAGAACCAAGTGAATCGATTCGAACGGTAAAAGTGGCATCAAAGCCACTAGACAGCCTAGGCGTCAAGAACTTCGACCACTCTGGCTGGAGTCAGGCTGCACGCCAAGGTAGAACAAATAGTTGTAAATTAATGATGCCACATATTCTTCTATAGAAGTACAGTATATAGATCCCCCGATTGGTGGAAACAATCTCCAAAACAGTTCTTGGATTGCATTTTCTAAATATTTGTTTGGGGGTCATAGTCAATGACTGGCCAGAGACTCTGTGAAACAACGGCTGTGGCAAGTAGAACATCAACCCAGCTTCTGCCGGTCATGAGGATCACAGAAATCTTCATCTGAACTTTGGCTCCAGCCAAGAGCGAGGATAGTCTTGGGCTCCAACTTCCACAAACTCTGAGCCAAAGCATGCTATCGGAACATTGGGCGAGCCACCCCAACCCCAATCCCGAAAAAGAGAAAGAGAAACAATAAAACAACTACAGTATACAAGATAATTACTGCAAAGTGGTCCTCTGGTGAGCCGCGCCCGTATTAAGACTTGGCAAAGGACTTCCCACGCACTTCCTCGCAGCAAACCCCCCCACCTGCAAGTCCTCAGGCACGGCACTCGGCGCCGCGACCACTTCCTGCCTTGGAACGTCGGGACCCTGGGCCCTTCCCCCTCTGGCGGCAGAGGTGGTGAATCTGCCGCCGAGGCGCGGGAACCTCGTACGAGACCAGCTGCTGGTGGTTTCACACGCTACTCAATCCCAGAGAAGGCATGATCAAGGGCAAAATCCACATTAAATCAAGCGTCATGATCTCTGCTCAAAGAAGGGGATGTCTAGCTGGAAGATTCAATGTAGCACCCTGCCTTCGATCGAAACTTGGACATGCACTCACGCACTCACTCACGCACGCACTCTCTCTCTCTCTCTCTTTCTGCTACAGTCATTGCCAAAGTCGCTGCAAGTGGTTTTCAGGAGTGGTTGTTGTGTCCAGTTGTCGCATGAAGTACTAAATACGTTTTGAGATGTGCCGGGTTAATCCCTCAGCAGATTTCGGCTGGTTCTCAGCAACTCCCCTCATGGGCGCCACGGATTCTGTGCAAACGACCCACGCGACGCACAGGTCCCGTTCGCGACCAAGTGGCCGGAGAGGCCGCTCCTGGTGATCAGGGAGGGGCGTTTCCATCAGAGAGGAGTGGACATGAGGTCGCACGAACGGGGGGGGCAGACACACCCGGACGTAGCTGAGGATCACCTTTAGATCCATCGGTTCACCTGAGGATCCATCGATCCCATAAAGCAAGCTGCGGTCAAGAACTCTTACAGTCTTACTTGGAACGAGCAAACGGCAAGTGCAAAAGAATGAGAGCCTCAGTCTCAAAGGCGTTCACTTATGATCTTCTTGATCATAGTACCTGATGTCCTAACTTACAGCCTTGGCCCGCATACATTGCAACCCAAAGTGTGCATATGATATAATATGTATACAATATGTTTTGAATGTTTTGAATAAATATACATAATATAGTTATATATAGATACATACTATATTGTAATATATATAGAGAGAGAGCTAGATAAAAATGTGCACATGACGCTCATTTCTAGTGTTTTGGGACATCTGCTGAAAGTCATATTCAAGTGGATGGGAACAAACGATGGCCACTGATTCATCGCTAAAAGACTCTGGCAGGAAACGCGAAGGCCACGGTCACTGGCCCACGGGTCGACGTGTATCCAGCAGCACTGCATCACCTATTTCATGAAATGCCCCACTGGTGACTTCCAAACTTTTGCGGTCACCAAGATCATGTTGGCGGGAATGTTCTCCCCCATTCCAGGAGAAAAGGGAGGAGCCTCATCTAAAATCGATATGATTTTTGGATGGTGCCTGAACAAATCTCCCAGCCAAACTCATCCTTAGACACTCATAGCTCCAATCCCGCAACCCCCTGAAAAACCCAGTCACTTTCCATCACTTTCCTATCATATCCTATCATCAAACCGTAGTACAAATCTCAGACCCAAGCACCCTCCATCTCTCCATCACTTCAACCCTCCATCTCTCCGGCTCCACCTCCGTCCGAATGCCCAACTTTCTCGTTCCGCCTCCAGCTGTCGCCGAAGCAGGGCGAGCTCTTCCTCCAAGACATGCCTGGCTGTTCTTCCCGCGCCACGGTGCACCGGGGCGTTCCCCCGGGCGGTGTTCCGTCGTCCCAGCGACCCACTGCACTCTGTTTGCAATGTAAGGGGAAAACCCAGCTGCTTGTCACTGCTTGTGGATTTCATGATCATCTGGATGCTCACTTCGTGCCAGGAAGTGCAACCAAACCCTGAAAACAAGCTTCCGATTGCGAGACAGGTTTTGCACTGATTATGTTAGGGAATATAGGTGTATAATAATATATGCATGACCTTCAAACCTAAAACCACCCCAATGTAAACAAGTTTCCATGACAGTGCTTGGGATAGAAAATCACTAGAAAAGGATATTTTTGCATCGTCCCACGTGCTACAGTCCGTCTGTCCTGTAGCACATGCGAACATGTGTGAACCAAAACGAAAAAAGCCGAAGCGCCGGCACGTAAAAACCAACCTCACCCGCAAAGAGATTGCCCTCTTTTCAGCAACAGCATCTGTAGGGAATCTGTCAGGTCAAGGAGTGGGTGGCCCTGGCGGCTCCTGCGGTCCATCGACGGCGGCGGTGCTCCGAACGATCGTCTTAGACACCATCTCATGGGTTGGGCATACCCATGCATATCCCATTCTGATTGACTTTTAGGAAATCGCACACACAGAGATATATGATATGTGTGTGTGTTTATCTATTTATATATAGTTGCGTTATTAATCAATATTATACATATCTAAGCGGTATGCATTAATGACGATGTTGCGGGGAATCAAAGCTCCCAAAACGGGCGTTTGTGGTGTTCATTTTCGCGTTCGCGATCCGGTCACGGGGGAACCCACCGGGGCTCAACCGACCGGAGCACAACCAACGAACCAAACACGTCGGAGAACAATGGGACCACGAGACATGCATTCTTCTAACGCTTCAAGCAGCCCTACGGTACTAGCCGGTCTACATGCAACTTAAAGACATGATTGATCAAACATGGAATTAAAACCAACGGATCATACGATGCAGCTGTGTGGGTGTCTTCGTCTTCCCATGTGTTCCCCCTCCACCAGTGTTGCAGGCATTGTTTCTTAATCTGCCTTCCTGAAGGAGACTTCCATCCTTGCGTTGCTGCTGTTGCTTTCAAAATTGGCGCCAATGCTGATTCAACTGACAGACGGTCCAACAGTTCAGCAACAGCCTTGTGTCAAACAAACTTTGCACAAGGTGGCAAGCTACCCCCAGCATAATCAATGAACTTTCAGTATGGCGGTGCGCATCCCATGAACGGCCCTCGGAAAGGCAAAGGAGATGATGGAATGAAACCCCTTAAGGCCCTTAAGTCGGTGGACAGCTGGACACCAACTACAGTGACTACAGCTGAGTCAACGGTGTCTAGCACGAGAGACTCCAGAGCCAACACCATGTCTGCTTGTCCTTCTTTGGCAAACACCAGGGTATATAGTATATAAGCTGACTTCAAGGGCTGCACCAAATGCAACATCAAAGAACTGCTAACCTGTGGAGGTTTAGCATGTCTCCTCTATCCGACCTGCAGTTCTTCCTTCGCTCCGCCAGGTGGCACACCACGCCTCCTCTTTTTGTGCCGTCTCCGTGGGCGGTGGGGGTGGCATGCTCTTGCGGCCATGCCAGAGGTTGCGCCTGGTGATGCAGCAACCAAAAAAACAGAGAGAGAGAGAGAGAGGAAGAAAACAGATTGATGGATTCTTCCACAGGACAAGACTGCACCAATCTGTACACTCCCAGCAGTAATTACATGAAATGTCCTGGCAATATAGTAGGGACAGTATTTCTGCAGGTTTACCTGTGAAAACAAGAGTGCACCAACCCCATCCAAACCCCAATACATTTGCGCTCCCAGCTCTGGCAGGTCCACCGTTGCCCAACCTCCTGCGATGCCCCCGGCGTCTTTCGGAGCATCGCAGCTTTCGGACATGTAATGTAGACTCTTGATTCATGTTCTTGGTTTCCTTCCACGGCAAATGTGAATCAATGGAAGTCTGTTGTCCACTTCGATGCACTTTTGTTCCGTGCCTCTTCTCCATGATCCGCTTCTTCTTCTCAGCCTCGTCATGTGCATGTGACGCTTCCATTCAAGGAAGGCCACAAATCATTGCACAGCCAATACTCGAGCTCAGTGTCACATGTCCGGTGCAGGATTGATTGATGTATAGCCTGGATTTCCCAAAGCCTGGATGTAAAGCCTGGATTTGTACATAGTCTGGATTTCCCAAAGTGCCCGGCCCTGACTGAAACTGTGGAATCCTCCATAAAGTGGGCTTAGAGATATAAGTCCTTTATCTTTCACATATACGATTCACGTATTTCCCTTAACCCGCAATATGAACACTACCTTTTAGGTCGCAACATGACGGCATCGCTGGCCCGCCTCCTGCGCAGAAGGGTGGCCTGTTCGTGAACCGTTTCGGGAAGCGACCGCCCTGTGAAGCGACCGAAGGAACTTGCAAATGTTGCTTTATATAGCTATAATATTGCTATAATAATGCACAACTATATAGTACAAAATTATATACAGTATACTAGTGTGTGTAGTGTGTATCAATATCTTGTTTAATCTAGTATAATCAAAAATAGAACGTGTAAACAGTGTAAACATTTAACATGTGTCGTGTATATATATATATATAATTTATATTTATATATGTATTTATAACTATACACTATATGAATGTACCCTACAAGGCTCCAACACTGGCTCCAACTACCTCCGTTTCGAAGGTGGTTGGGGTAGGTTTGAGGATGTGTTTGGAGCCCAACCAATAGTAGATCTGCCATCCCTACCCATTAGCAGGGGCGGGGGGAGACCTCAAAAATGCAACCTACAATTGCCAGGGGTGAGGAGTAAGTTACATTTTATCGGGGGGGGCAGGAGGTGGTCTGAAAATGTCAGTTGCATTTTTCAGACACCCCTTGCAAATCCATGTTAAAGGGGTGGATATGATCTGCCTAGACGTGCGCACACTTCAGGTTTGCCTCCGACAATCCCCCCAACTCCTTCGTACTTTCCGCGCACGTGTCCCGCGCACCAAACTCGGTGCCACTCTGCGCCTCGTGGTGCCTGGCGTCCGGTGAGCGTCGCATCCATAGGAAGGTCCGGTGAGGGGAAGGTCCGTGAGCGTCGTCTGCGGTTCCCAGGCATCATGGGTTGACCCCTAGCATCTCTGATCCATCAACATCCATGAAAACAGCGGGCAAAGCCTAGTGGGCCTAGTGCACGTGGAGTGGAAGGCCCAGATCCCTAGGGCCCTCGGTCAGCAGGGTCGAAGGTCCCATCGACTTGATTCATTGGAGTCCTCAGGTTCAAAGCCTCGCGAGCTCAGCACATCTTGCATCTCCGAGGAAAGAACACGATCAACTAGCAAGACTCCGGCTAAAGAAACAAAGACCTTGCATCCATCGCTCAGGGTCACACTGCCTAACCTCCTGAAAAAGATTACGTGTGAAGAATCCCACCACGTCCAACCACTCAGTAATGGATAGGAGTGGTCATCACCACTCAGTAAGGGGGATGTGGTCCGTCCTCAATACCTCCAATCTTAGACCTTGTTGACCCATGTTGACCCTGTTGACGTTGAAAGGGGGGGCCGTTGATTCATCCTACGTGGCCCATTAAAAAGATCCATGGTGCTCTTTCCTTGCTTCCGTGCCCGACGCCTTGGATGCTTGGGCCGTGGTCAGGATCCTTGGAAGAGTGCCGAGGTCGGTCGTCCCGGTGGACACTCAAGGAAGGAAGACCTACCTGGTGACCTCACCTGGTGACCTACGGTGACCTCACACCGCTTTCCATAAGAAAACATGATCTTCCCAACACGTCGTCCGCATAAAGGTCCGGTGCTTGGTTTTCGCCCAAGGTCGATCATTCTTCCAGGGGTCGATTGTTAGCACTACACCCCTGCTGTTCTGCTAGGAATACAAATGGGTGTCCTCCTCCTGCTGTTCTGGATGTGTATCTCCAAATCTTGTTGAGGATGGTTCCTTAAACCCCCAACTACTAGGTACACGGCGGATAGACGGCCGTGGGGTGATGAAGGATGGTCGTGGGGTAATCCATCTTAAATATGTGTAATTCCATTAGGAAGGATGTGAGCGACACTTCATCATTGGAACCGTTGTGAATTCCATGCAGATGTCGATAAAATCAGAGTTTCGTTGAGGCAAAATGGCGATTTCGCAGCATTTTCGAAACTACGCAACTACTTTTGCCGTCGTACATGTGTGCGACTTTTTCACTCTTCACAGGAGCTGCTCCAAGCGGTTGGGGTCATATACACTCATGAAATTAGTGAATATTAGTCATATATTTATCAACATATTGAATATGCAATAATATATGTATCAAATTGTCATGAAGTGCTTGAAAACATACAGGCCACCGATCTTGCTGCAGAGCTATTTGCAACACTTCAGGAAGCACCGGATCAGCGGTGGAACTTTCACTCCAGGTTTTCAACAAACTATCAAGATACCACGGGTCTACCTCAAACCACGCTTGTAAGGATTCGGGGAGCTGATCCACCCCTGTCCAACCCCCTAACCTCAACTCAACAACAAAAGAAAAGCCAAACCTAAACCGGAAACAAAGGAAAATTCCGCCATATGAGCAACAAAACTGCATCCGGATGAACGACCAAACACATACCAGACGGGTTAGATATGAATAAATCCAGACGGGTTTTAAACTCGCAGGTGTGCAAGTAAACATGTATGCGCAACACAGCACGAGTACTAGTATTGCGTAGCGTCGAAGACAGAAAGTGGAACCAGGGGTACTTCGTCCGAATGTAACCCGCAAGAAAATAGACTGAAATAGTATATAGATAACATGCTACGCCACAGGTGTGCTAATTAGCCCCACCCCCCCCTAACCCCCCCCCACCCCAAAATTCCCACACGTAGTACTGTAGAAAACAAAATGTCAAAACAATGTAAGAAATGCCCACGGCCGTCTATCCGCCGTGGGCCAACTACTACACACCTGAGATCTTGTTGAGGATGGTTCCTTAAACCCCCAACTACTACACACCTGAGACTGACTGAACAGAATCCACAGGCAGTGGCTCCTTTGAGCCATGGAAACCCACCTTGAGGAACCTTGAGGAACCTTGGGTAGGCTCTTTGGCCTGCGCGGTCTTCGGTGTTCATCAGTCACCTCTTTGACCTCGGTTCTGCAAGGGAACGCATGCAGGAAGGGGTTCTGCAAGGGAACGCGACTCTGACAGACCTGGCGTCAACGGCGGCGGATGTTGTTCCTGAGGTTCCAGCTTTGATTCCGGCACTGACTTCTTGATGTTGAGGTCATAGAAGCGTTTCTGGGCAGTCTCCGCAACCAAAGACATGCTGGGGAGGATCTGGAGGGGGGGGCGTTCTGCAGAAGGTGGGTGGCTGGCGGCACGGTTTTCCGACTCCTTGGTCAAGAAGAAAGAGATAGCATCGAACCATGACCAAGGAGTCCAAGGCATCTAGGTTCTAGGTACTGTATCTTTGTGGAAGCTCTGACCAAGGAGTCATCGAAATCTGGATGAACCAAATTTGGAAGGAGACACCCTCGTCACCTGGCTACAGCATGCCACCCACGGTCCAAGAATGCGCATGGTTGGAGACAGCAGACAGCCCTTGAGTTGGCCATCTTCTTGAACACAGAAAGTCCTGAAACTCCACAAATCCGAAACAGCAAACTCCTGCGTTTTCGGGTTGAAGTTAGCAACTCCTACACAGCTGCTCCATGCTGCTCCAGAACCCCGAAACTCCATGAAACTCCCATCATCTTCCGATGATTTCAGGGAGGAATCGGTGTTGACGAGAAGGAACCGGCCCAAAAAGCCATGGCTCAACAAGTCGTGCACCCGGCCATACCCGGCCCAAACCACTGAGAGAACGAACCAAAACCAGGTCAGCCCCCCGCTCTTCCCACCGGCCCCACCATCCGTCACCCATCCTTCAGCCCAAGCCGCGCCGGAGGGGGTCCGAAGCAGTCGGGTGACTTCTGCTGGCAGGTACTGGTTCAGCTGGCCGCTGAGATAGAAGACCTGCAATGAGGTACTCGTCACCCGAACCATCCCGAACACACCCATGGACTGCCATGGAAGTCTTCCCACGCGGTATGGATACAAACCTCAAACCTCAACCAAAAGCTGATGTAACTGCTGCAAGCATCCTAACGCGCAGGTTCAGACTTCCCAGGTGTCTTCTTTCTGCCATGAAGGTGTGAGTGAGGTACAGTTTAAAGACCCATTGGATCCCATTGGGCAATTGGCATGGCATGACTTCTGCGGGTGCAGCCAAGCTTTGTGCGGGGATGCTTGGGGTGTGTTTATCACTGGGGGGAAGGGGTTTCAAGGGATGAGTCCAGAATCATGTGAGAGACTTTGAGGACTTCACGCTCACTCACCCGAAACCCACCACAAACGGAATACCTCCATGATCCTCCATGCAGTGACGACGCAGACCGCGCGGGTCACCCCGCGCACCGAACCCAAAACCGGTTCCACAGCGGTACCATCTGGGGGAGGGCGGCGACCCCCTGCGCTTCGGTCCGTCGAAGCGGCGCCTGCTGGCCCACTTGGAACTTCGCGGTGCTCGTCCTGGGCGTCTGATCTTTGGCCGCCTGGAGAGGTCCGGGTCGGCCGCGACGGAGACGGAGCGCGTGAGAACTGCCAGGTCTGGCAGCCGTCGACTGGTATGAGAGGTCTCGACCTTGAGCGAGGGCGAAGGGTCCCGGAAATCGAGGACCAGGGTCCCTTGAACGACGCCATGTTCCTTTTACAAAGGTTGCCCCGCGCCTCGTCATCCCGGAATCCCACCCAGTTTCGGGCGAAAAGACCCGAATCAACAGCTGGCCGGCTGTTGATTCAGGTCCATCCCCCAAATCTCTATAATATATCATTACGTAATATAAATATGATATCAACCAAATCACCAACAACAAACTTTGTCATTTCATTCACTTCCCTCGACTCCTCGAAAGTCTTCTCTCCCCACCTGTGTCTGTGCACCGTTGGGCGCTTCCGGCGCCACCTGCGCCTGCACCTCGTGCGCCTGGGCCACCGCAGCCGCCTCGCCCTTGGCTTCCGCGGCCGCCTTCGCCGCGCCGCTCTTCACCGTCGCCGCAGCCTCGCCCAGTCAATTTTTTGGGTCTTGGAAGTCTGGGCGCTCACGGACCCCTGGACCGGACGACTCGCCTTGGCGAAGCGCTTCTGGGGTCGGATCTTCTCGGGCGCTGCGCGCGGTTTGCCCGACAGGTCGTACGAGAGCAACTGGCCTGGCGCATCACGCATGGGAAGAACGTGGTTTTGTCCAGAGAGGTGGAGCTCAGAGCTGGGATGCAAAGTAAATTGCACGTGAGTAATTGAAATGTGGTATCATACTACATGCATGTATGTGGCAGCAGTTTGTGCGGGTTCACTTGTTGGTTTCTTTGGATCAAACCCTTGGGGGGTTGCTCTCAGGTTGCAGGATGGTTGTCTTATTTTCTTGGTCATCACAAGGTGAACAACATGAATCAAAACCATTCCAAAACCCGCAGCTGCGGCCCGGCGCAAGATACGTTCCACACCATGCTGCCACCAGCCGTGCCACTTGCAAAAAAAAACCAAACGGTCAACGTCTCTTCTCCCGGCGATGACGATCGAAAGCCACGGAGAGAAACCGACCGATGGCCAGCCGAGGGATGGCCAAGAACGATCCAATTCCAGTCATGTATATAGACCGTTGATGACTATGAAACAACCTATAGACCAGTCATGTCTATGTACAATAGGATATATTATAGACCGTTGATGAATTTACTTTAAAAAAGGAGGAGGCTGTTATAGGCTGTTCACTCCAACAGGAGGAGGGCGGTATTATGTATATATTTTTATTTATGTCTATATCCAACCAACTGGCGACCTTCGGATGAAAGAACCCAACGAGCAAATCCAGACTCACCTCCTCGGGAGTTCACCGAGCTTGCCGGAAGTCTCGCCTTGGGAGTTCACATTCACCGCCTTGATTTTGGTGTCGAACCACTGCCTTGGCAAGCGGTAGGCTCCCACGAAAAAGAACTCAAAGTGCAAATTTCTGTACATATAGTCGTGTACATATAGTATAATAATACTATTATGTAAAATATATGTATGCGCATGTGAACCGAGAACCGAAGGAAGCCATCCAACCAGAGCCTTCAAAGGAGTTCAGCCAACCAACCGGGTTTGGCTCAAGGTGGGGCACGGCGGACCGCTTTGGACTGGGTGGGGGGGCCATCCAGGTATTTTACATAGGGTTTGGGACTCCTAGGTCTTCCTTTTGCGTGAGGAAGCTACATGTGCATATATACAATTTCTACAATTATGTTACTATTACAGTATTACTTAAAAAATATTTAATTATAACTATAGTATCTTATAATGTTGTCCTCTTGCTTGAGGCTGATTGCTCCTGCTGATTGGCCCAAGAGAAGGCGGAACTGTTCCATGCAGCTGAACATCAAGCGAAACTGTACCCTTAAAGATCCTTAAACAAAAGATTCCGCAAAGCTCAAGACTTCGGCAGGCTGATGTGTCGTTTACTGAATCTAGCCGTTGGTCGTTCACATGACCGTGATAAGCCAAGGCCACGCCCGTGTTGCAACCAAGAGACTTCATGTTCGTGCTCCTGGGGCCGCCAGTTTGAGATGCTGAGGTCAGAACTGGCGAGACCATCCGACCATCCCTTTCCAATTGTTGGCTTGTCTCTACTGAGCTATCCTGCTACACCCTGAAAAAAGAGGATCCATTCTCTGATGCCTTCAATGTCTTATCATGTCTAATCTTACGTGACGATCGACGCCCCCCATCTCTTCCAAAAGCAATCATCGATCCCCCCAAAAATCAACAGTACTTAAGATTACTTAAGGCCATCTTAGGCCCAAATTAAGACTTGACTTCTTCATCAGCCAGACCCTACTGGCTCCGCTCTCCGCTCTCCTCTCTGGCTCCGGCCCCTATGTAGGGCGCCTATATATTGCTCATTTTGCTCGACCAGGTGAGCTTCAGCCGAGTCTCCAGTACCTTACCTTCTGCCCCACGTGATAGAGCTGCACCGCGGCCGCTGCCGCCTCGACCCAGGTGCCCCAGTCCCACCATGGGCGGGACGTGCTACTGTCTGTTGTCTGGTTGCACGGGTCTTTGGGGTGGAACCTGTAAAGGAGAATAGGCCCCTCCTCAGAAACCTATAGGGACACTCCACCGGGTCACGAAACCCGTGAACAGCTGAAAAAGAGCCCGAACAGGGCCCGCCTGAACACGGAGGCATGTGGATTCCACTCCATGCGTTTTTGTTCATCCATTCTACATGATATATATATATGTATATATATATATACCCCGCAGTGCAGCCAATGTTGTTGATGTTGTTTGATCTGAGTCTCTGTGCGGGGACCAAAAACGGGAGGAAAAAGGGAGGAAAAGCACGTGTCTTTGAAAGACAGGTCTTTGGCAATCATCTCTTCTCTTGAAAACCAATGAACCCTGTAGACATTCACCATGCCCGGTGCCATGTCCTCCACCAGGACGAGGAGGCGCGGGGCATGTCACCGGACGGCCGCCCTTTTTGGCTTCGCGGCTCCTCCGGACGTCTCTTCAACTCCGGCTCAGCAGGGTAGGCGACATCTGAGCCATGTTCCGCCACGTTCCGGCCCACGGGCAGCATGCAAGAGCTTGGCAAGGCCAACCACTGGTTCTGATATGTCATTCATTCTCATCGTCTGTGGGACCTGCAGGAATCTGCAGGACCCTGGACTTGTCAGAGTTTGGCCATTTTCATGGCCCAAACGGCAGCCTCGCCACCAAACACCAGCAAACTCAGCATCTCCTTCTTTCCACGGCCGTCGCTTCCATCGCTTCTCCCTCGCCAGCTTGGCATCCACTCCTTCCCTGCGATCTCCAGCCCGCCATCTCGGCGCGCGCCGCCGGTCGATGACGCGATGACCAGCGGATCCACCTCACAGCGGATCCACCTCCACGATCCACGGCACCGCCGCGGAGGGTGACAGCAGCTGCGAGAGCGACCCATGTGCCCAGTCTGCGGCCCGATGACCGGAGTGGTCCTCCAAGACATTGGCCAAGAGATGTGGCCGAAACATGCTGGAGGTGACATGAAGTATGACAAACTTTATACGGTTTATAGAACATGTATGATAATATATGAAAATGTATTTAGCCTCTTGGGAATTTTTGAGGGATTAGTCTGCAAGTGCCCAGATGTCCTCATGCTGCCTGATCCTTCAAACCTTAATCCTCACTGATATTGCAAAACACATCGATCACACGTCACCAATACCCTGAAACAACGAACACCTTCCACAAACCTGCATCTCTCCAACTCCAACTCAAAACACCTTCCCTCCCCCAATCCATTCTTCCATATTCTTCCCATTCCCAGCACGGATAGGTGTGTTTTGTTCACCTCTCCTGCACCTCTGGATCGGCCCCGAAGGCCAACAACACATAGACCACCTCCGGGTCGTCGCCCCGCGCCGCCCAGTGCAGCGCCGTCTGATGGGCTCCATCCACGTGGTGGACGGAGGCACCGGAGGCCAACAGGTTCTCCACGGATTCCTTCGGGGTGACCAGAAAGAATTATGTTCCACGGGATTCGCTATGGATGATCCATAGGCGATCGGCGATGGCTGTTCTTTTTCAGTGATGCGTTAAAGGATGGGAAAGGTCAGCGAGTCGTGTCCTGGCATTGCCTTTTAACATGGGTTTTCTGGCGGGGATACCCCCATGTTCGTGTCCAAGCAATAGGTCGATAGGTAACCTGGTACCAAACTGGCCCCTCTATGATTCCCAAAAGCACTTCATTGTTGGCCAGAAGGAAGTGCTACTTTTTGGTGTTTTGGTGGGATGGGAGGGTCAGCTGGCAGCTGGGTGGTTGGATGTGGTTGGATCTTTTCCGACCTAAGAGGGAGTGGTTTTTCGACAAAGCAAAGGCTTCAAATAGACAGCCAAATCATACCACTTCGGACATGGTCCTAACGACGGAATTCTTCATTCTTCAGGCCCACCTGGACCATCCCACCATTCTCACCGACCGCCCCAACCCCGACCAAACCCGACCAAACCCGCACGACCCGAGGCTCGGTCTGACCGGCCCAGCAGGCCCACATCAGGGGCGTCAGGCCATCCACGTCCAGCGCATCGACCTGAAAACCTGCCAGCAGCAGCCAGCGCAGCGCCGCGGGACTCGCCGCCGCGGCCCAGTGCAGCGGGCTCGCGGCGCAAGGGACGCCCCGGACGAAGGCTTCGAAGGCACCGGCCTAACGTGGGAACTGGCGTGGGCAAGTGGACCGAAAGACATGGGTGTTTAGGCAGGTGGAGGGTACCACATGGTACACATGGTACATCCATGGTACCAGTCAGATCCCCACAATCATAGGACAAATGTAGCTGGTTCCATCATGTAAGAATGCTAATGGCTAAGACGGCTAAGATCCTTTTCCATCCTTTTCCAAGCACTTCGGTGTCGGCAAACTGTTGAGTTGGGGGAAGTGCCTCCCTCGCCACTTCCCGAGTTTGGGCCCCGGGTTTCAGAGGCCCGGGGCCATGTTTCGGCTTTCTCACAGCAAAAGTTCTATATCCAGTATACGCAGTATACACAATTCATAAAGGAACATCATCCAGTATACACAGTTCTATATCCTAGGGATCCTCATGGATCATCTGCCGGATCCTCATGGATCATCAGGGATCCTCATGGATCATCTGCCTCCTTCACTTCTGATTCTGAGAACCCTCCCCCACACCTTCAGCAAGGCCATCACCACTTCGCTGTGCCCCTGCTGCGCTGCCCAATGCAACGGTGTCACACCCTCCAGGTCGGCGACATTCACCTCCGCCCGCTGCGCCAGCAAGGCGTCCACCATGGCCAGGTGTCCGTTGCGGCTCGCCAGGTGCAAGGCCGTGATGCCGGCCAAGTCCTGGAAGGAACGAACGCCTCTGGGTGAACACTCCTAAAATCAAGGCTCCAAACCCCAGGAACATCGGTCCGCTTCGGTGGCTCGTGGCGCCCTGTGCTACAGATGTAAAAGGTGGTTACAGTAATTTCTATCAAAAGGCCCTCTAATGATATCACTTCCTACCTTGAGATCCATGTGACACCACCCCCACCCACCTCACCCCAAAACATCGGAAAAAAGGAGGCAAGGACTGACCACTCCGATCGGTCCAACACTTGGGAGTCTACTATTCACTTGGTGCCCAGCTCTGCCCTGCGGTCCGCATGGTCCACATCTGCACCAGCTTCCAGAAGCATCGGCAGCCGCTCCACCTGGCCCTTGGCAGCCCAGGTCTGCAGCGCCGCCGAGGCGCTGGCGCTTCCCGCGCCGGAAGACCCGGACAGCCGGGGCAGCAGGGTCAGAAGGAGCCCATGAGGCCACATGGAGTGGACGTGTCAACTCAAAGAGTGAAAGATGTAGTAGGAACTGTAGGAATGTTCAGTTCTCTCTCTCTCTCTCTCTGACTCTCCCTCTGGCGAATCTGGCTGACACACTTCTGCTCACCAACTGACCATTTTCCACTTCCATCTTAGCGAGTTGGAGTTCAACCAAACGCACCGCCGTTCGGCGGCATCTTCGGCCGATGGGCAGGAAAACGTGGCTGCAGGTGATGGTCATCCATTTCCAAGCATTCGCGAGGAATTCGCAAGGAAAATGGAAGAAAACTCGTTGCTATGTATAGTTATATATATATATAGAACTGAAGTAGCCGAGTGTCCCTTTGGGATAGCTGATTGACAGTGCGACCTCCTTTTCAAGATGAGGAGATTCAGGATCACACGGCTTCGCTCAGCAGGTACGAAAGTGCTCCACGACACTATGATTGAATTCACAGCCATAGAGTCCTTCTCTTGGTAAAACCATGCGCACCACCAGTGACCAAACTCCCGCCAACCTCCGCGGAATCCCCTCGGCCCTCGGCCCTCTCTCCTGGCCTTTGGGCCTGGCGCCGGCGCCCTGGGTGCCTTGGGCAACTTGGACGCCTTAGGCCTGGTCGCCTCGCCTGGTCAGGACCCCCTCGCGACGACGGATTGGATGCGCCACCCGGGGTCCCCGAAAACCAACGGCGGGTGGCCTCCGCACCCGGAAGGCTGGGCCGGGCGCCCGTGCTTGGGGCCGCGCGCCCGAAACGGTGGGGCGATATGGGAACATCTGACCGACATGCAGGAAGGACAACGCATCCCACAGGACAAAGACCTCTCAAGTTGCCAGTCTGGTTGCACCCGGCAGGTTAACATGGAACCTGAAAGTCGAGCTTTGGAAGACAATTGCCCTCTGCAATCCAAGATCATCCCAAGTAGGTGGTTTTTTGGGGGGTCCATGTTATCTGCATCGGCTTGGACCAACAGCATTGACACAAACATGTGGCCCTCCATGCGACTTCCCATGTCGCAGTCGCATGTCCCAACAAACACGTGGAAACAAACAAACTCTGAGTGAGTGTGACTCGCAAGGTAGACTCTTGAAGCAATCAAACCTCCCCCTTCTACGCCACTTCGGATCGAACAACCTCTTCATACCGGAGGTGTCATTCATTTTTGTTGAGTCATCATTGATGGAAGCTTCGGGGGAGCGAGTTTCCCCAATGGAATGTTCTTTGGGTTCACCCACCCTCTAGTCTTCCCTACCAGTCGCACCCTGTTCCGGTCCGGAGGGTCCTTCCCCCCGCCTGGGTCGGCATCTGCCGCCTTTCGAAGGCGACCGGTGGTGTGTTAGCTGGTGCAGGCGATATGGGTCATCAACTACTTAGAGTCCTAGAATTAGGTCTATACGGGAACATCTACGGGAAACTCTGCTCAAGACTAGGGAGTTCCTGTAAAGATGTTCCCTTAGCCCCAATTGTGGTACATCGACATCAGGGGTGCAGAAGGTACATCGACATTACTTGCATGAGGCTGTTGTTCTTCGTGATATAATTCGTCTCACAAGACTTCTTGGAGGACAACCACACCAGGCCATTTTGTGTATATAGCTGGTATACCAGCTGGTAATAATATAGCTGGTCACTTAGCTGGTCAACTATCAGCCGCTCCTTTTACAGTAAAAATGTCCTTTATCGCTACACCATGCCGCTATCATTTCTATCGTTTTGAACGTCTTGGAACCTTCAAGAAGAACACCATCAGCCTCCTGGAGTCCTGGGGTCCTGGTTGCCTCCAATGGCTTAGTTGGATTGCCATAGTGACGAGGCATGTGGCACCTGTGAGCCGCCTGTGAGGCACCTGTGAGGCACCTGTGAAACCTCAAAAGGATTCAAAAGGGCTAAACACAACATATAAAACCCCCGCCTGGACCTGCCCATTCTCTTCCCAAACGCCGCGGACAAACCCACGACGTCACAACCGCTTCCTTTCTGTCGTCGTTGTTTACACCGGCCGATCCAGGCCCCGATCGACACATCGGTGGAACCGAAGGGCCGAGTCCGTGGAACCGAAGCCCGAGGGAGCGCCCGTCTCGACGTCTGCGTCGGGACTGACAGCCTACTTAGTTGTTTGGTCCAACCTGCCTGACACTTCTGATGTTGCCCATCCCAAGGGCAGCAAGTGGCTGAACATCACGTCGCTTGCCGTGAAGTTGCAACACGGATCAACTAATCGGCCGATGGGCCGGACATGGTGGGACGTGGGGACTGTGGGGACATGGTGGGACATGAGGCTTCGCTGAGGTGGGATCCAGTAATGTAACAGTAGACTCTTGATTGAAAAACCCAACATATGAAGAGTTTGTTCAATCCAAATGGGGAAGGGTGCATTTATTCCAAGGGTCTAGATGATGTTAAAAAAATGTCACACCGCTTTGCATGGCGAATGTCCGGCCATCCATTGCCGCCAGCCCCCAGTTTCCACCTCACTGTTACCCTTTCCCGACCTGGACATTGGACTTGGCTGGCTTCGCCGGCTTGGCTGGCTTCGGCTGCGCAGGTGCATCGGGCTTGGGCGCCCGGACCTGTATATAAACAATCCGACATCGTCGACATCTTCTTTCGCTGGGGTCTCCTTGAACTGGGTGAAGTCTTGGAAGTTCAACTTGAGTTCCTTTTGGGTGGGCTGGGTCTGGGTGATAGCAGCCAATCAAGCGGACAGTGGTCAGTCTTCCACTTGCAACCCGGCGAAGAAATGGCAATAATAAGAACGGATTGCCAAATTGTCACCCAAAGACTGACCTCCCAGCGTACCTATGATGCAGCACTTTTTACTACATCCTTTTTGCTGGTGAAACTGTCGTTGTCTTTGCAAATGACGTACATTTTGATTTTTGATTTTGCAGTCACTTGCAGTCTCTTGCAGCCACTTGCTCAGGCAGCCCCTTGGCAGCCACTTGCGAGTGGCTGCAACATGGAAAATCCAAATGCGCTCCTCCTGCGAGCTCAATGACACTTTGGCCATTCCTGGTGGGGGTGTTGCCCTTTCCAACTGTAGGACTCTCGGTGGTCGTTCTGTGATTCACCCAGCAGTCGTGCACATTTGCGCACTGGTCCTTCGTGGACTTCAGGCACCCCTGATTTCCAACTGCGCGCAATGTTCTCAGCAGTTTCACTGCATTTGCCTGCCTTCTTTCCGCAAAGCCCAATCGTTTTAAACTGCCCACAACACAACGCAATGCTCCATTCCTTGCCGTGCTCTCTCGCAAATTTGACAGAAGCTCAACAATTGAGCCATCCAATTGTGCAGTCGAAGCAACGAATTCACATGGCGCGCCCCTGGGATGACGGCTCTGAAGCCAGATGACAGAAAGCTCATTCGCAAGCCGAGCCGCCAGGTTCCTGTCACAGCCCTTTCCTCTGGCTCTGGTTGCTTGACTGCTGTATGTCGCTCGGGTTCCACCGAGGTAGAAAACAACCCACCCTTTTTCCAGCAGATCCTGTCCGGTAAAGAAACCGGAAAGAATTGCTTGCCTCCGTTGACCGTTGCTGAGCTTTATTCTTGTGCGTTTGTTGTCCTTGAACGCGAATTACATTGCCACTGGCAGGGAGGAGAAGAAGGAAGCACCATGACTGGAATCTGCCCAGAAGACCTCATTCATCTCTAGAAGGGATCTCAACGAATCATAGTTTGACGTCACTGCAGAGCACACCGTGACACATTCAGAACGCGAAAGAATTCCTTGCTCATGCAAGGAACGAATTTGTGTGTCCAACTGTTTTATTTCGAGGAGCATCCCTCCCTATTGCGACCTTTGCATCTCCCGCACACGTTTGGTTCCAGTGAAACACACCGCAAGGCGTAGAATTTCTCCCTCGGAAATCATGCGCAAAGTATGCATGAGCGCGTTGAAGCAGGCGCTGCCTCCATCCGTGTCGGGCACTGTTTCAACAAAAGCGCCAAGCCCATCACCTTCGGCTCTCAGATACTCTGTGGCCAGCTCCGCGCCTTCCGCAAGTAAAACCTGCGGGACATGTGTTGAAATCCCCCCGCACCGGGCCGCCAACCCAGATTAGCACGCGAACGGGCTGAGAAACAAAGGTTTGGGCCAAAATTGAACATTGCCCAATAGCGTCTGCATGTTGCGGCGGGTGACTTGGATGAGCATGTGTTGTGTGAACCAAAACATCAGGTCCAAAATTCAGGTGTTGATACGATCAGTTTTGTTTAATCTCTGTAAAGGGCGCACACTTACAAAAATGCAACCAACTTCGTTCTCATCTACTGTGCCCGAACCCTTTTCCCGCAAGAGTGGTTCATCAATCAGCATAATTCGCCCTGCCTTTTGCCACAATTTCACGGAACATCGAGTCGAATCGATCTACGAATCGACTTCGACACTGGAAGGCCTCACATGGCGACCTCACACCCGAGGCTCAAATCGAGGTTGGTCAAGTGATGGTTTGGGGCTGACTTGTTTTTTTGGGAAGCCGGCTGCACACCCGTCGCAGGTACCATAATGGGCTGGAGGACGGCCTCGATGGCCTGTTTGGCCTCACCAACACAATTCCACGTGTTGTCGCGGCCCTGCTTCGCTTTAAGCAGGCCCTTATCTTTCTGCGCATCGTCAAGGAGACCTTTTTTTTCCATTCACATCTTCTTGCAGGTTCGTTCAATTCATGCAGGTACCTTCGCCTTGGCACGCCGCATCAGCAAGAAACATGCGCCCACCTGCTGCGCGGTGTTATTTTGCCTCCTGGGAACACCGAGAAGACCAGCCATTGCCAAGCTTTGCTGGTAGAACTACGATGATATGATGATGTCTGCAAAGCGAATAGCAGCGATTCTTCCCAGTGATGTCTGACCCCGTTCCCACTTGGGCAATCAATCAACCCCTCAGCTGGTGGCCAAAAGACAGAAAGACTTACAGGCCAACCGTCCGCATGGTCCTAGCCATCGAGAGCTTGCGCCGGTGGTCAGCAGCCTTGCAGAACCCCCTTGGTGGTTGTCGAGATTAGCCCGCGGATGCTGCTGGCATCTTCGATAATTTTTTGGTCAAGGTTTTCTGCTCCAGAAAGCTCCAGCTCCCAAAGGCCCTCCAAAATCCATCACAAGTGCGTTCTGCGCATGTTCTCCATCTTGGCCCCAGGTAGCGCTTATGGGGGCTAGATCTTGTGGATGACCAACCAAAGACTTCGGTGTTCTCTTAAGCACTAAGGTCAGGTCAAAAACAAGGGAGTGATGATGATGTTTGGAAATTCTTGCTGGATATTGTTGGATCCATGCTTGGCTGCTTTCCTTCGTGGGAAATACGTGGGAATAGACTGCTAAGGCCAAAGCCCAAAGCCAAACCAACCGCCGCACCACCGCTTCGTCCATCTATAGTTTCTGCACGGGCTCCTTTTCCAAACCTCCAATCCAATCCGCTAAATAAATGGAAACCTTCCTGTCCCAACCTGAAGGGTTACATGACATAAATTAATGTAGACTCTTGACTAGCAAAAGCCTCCCAAAACAGAATGGGACATCCTCATCTGGGGGGGTTGATGAATCAAGTGTCTACTAGACATGAATTACATGACTGTGACTCTAACAGATCTTCTTTCCCTTTCACGGGCTCGATCTCGCCGTCCCACGGCCGAGGTCTACCGCGCCTTCGAGGGCGGGGCACCTTGCTTCCCGGAGCAATCCTGGGGACGAGAGGGGAAGACACGGCCACGGCCACGGCCACCCAACCGGAATTCGTGCCAAAAGCTCTGTGAAACATCAAGGTTTGAGAAAGAACAGAAGTGGTTCATGTGTCCGAGTCCCATTCCCTTGTAAGGGTGATGGTTCTAGACACTGAGCATGATTGTTTGCATCTGAAGAAACTTTTCGCCGCAGGCTTGCAGAGCAAACGTAGTTTGGGAATGGTTGAGCCTCTGTCTGTGGGGGTTGGTTTGTAGGGAACCTCCGATAGCCGCCGCGTGGTGGTCGTGATGGTGGCCGACGGTCTATCCTTTTACGTTGACACATTGAGAACGGTTTTCCCAGAACGGCTCCATATAGAGGCACACGAATGAGCCAGAAGAACACACGAACCATGAGCCAGACTTTCAGATACCCAGTAGCATTGGGTTCTTCACCGGCGCTTTGTTGGCATGGGGAGTGTGATCACCCCCTGACTCAGCACACAACAATAGCAAACAAAAGGCCACTCCTAAAGTCCAAACCCGCCAAACCCCACATGTTCGACTGGTCAAGAAAACTCCAGGACCGCAGTGATGAACGGGGCAACGAGGAGCTGCTCATCTGCAGTTACAACATGTTACAACGATTAGCTGGCAAACGAGATCTTCTGAGGGTTAGCTGGGTTAGCTATATTGCATGCCAAGAAATCTCCAGAACCAACCTCAGACTCTGAGTACCTGCCCTCTCAAGCTAGCCCAAGGCACATAGGCATGCACCTTCCCAGCGTCATCGAAGTGCACCGCTTTCACCATCGTCGTCATCCACCCGCCTCGCGGACCACGCTCCCGAGCGGCGAGAGAGCCGGCGGACTCGGACGCCGTCGACGGCTCGGCCTTTCGAAGTGCTGTAGTACTGCCTCGGTCGGCGGGACGCGGCGGGACCGGCGGGACCGCTGTTAAGGTTTGCTGAGATGGCGGAAATCATCGGGCGAAAACGGCCGGGGGCGCCTGGCTAAGTGGAGTGCGACCCTGAGGTGGCTGCAAACTTGCCATGCCTGGTTGGTGGTCGTTCTATCCAACCCACGTCAAACAGATCAAAGTAAGTAAATATAGGAGTCAGTGGGCTCCATCATCCCCAAAGATGAAAAACATCTGAACCACACCCAGAAACAGGATAGAGTTGCCCACTTTGGAGTTCACTTGACACCACCAACTCAGTTTCACTTGCGGATGTCGCTGGTCGACCGAGTCTTTGGCCCTGAGCGTCTGACACTTGATCTCCCACCTTGAAGACAGGCCGCGGTCCTGCCAAAAGGCACGGTTCTTCACCGCCGAATGACGTAGCCCGAAGGACTCCGAAGGACCTTGCGACGTGGGGATTTCGCGCATGTGATGTAATAAGTACCCATGTAAGTAGCGCCGTGGTGGGGGATGATGTTAATATTAATTAGGGTATATACACATGGGTATACGTACTTGACGTTTGAAGGATGATGGTGGTGCCACAATGTTGGAATCCCGACAACATTGAAAGCCCTGCCTTTCGAGCATCGCAACTCCCAGATTCCTAGAGATGTCTAAGAGTACACCAATCACCTCCCCACAGGTTTCATCCTCACCCCATCCACCCTGCTCCCCTTCAACGCCGCAAGTGAGAGTTCAGTTCAGCCGCTTTCGCCCAGGTCTCTCCCCAGAAACTCCGAAGAAAAAGGAGCGCCGTGACGCCTCCTGGCGCTGAAGGGGGGTCTGAAGACGACCCTTTCGCTGAAAAAAGACCGGGCCTCCGGAGCTCGAAGGCGTCACGCCGCGCTTCCTGGCCGTCACGGCGCGCGCGCTTCCTCTCCAGACGACGGGCCGGACGGGGGGCACTGTGGGGGGAGCGGGGTGGCGGGGCTGGCCATATGGGAGGGCCCGTCCATGTCTGCAGAGGGGTTCCGTGTCTGGGGTTAGAGCTGATGAGATGGCCAGATGGGGCGGCGGACGGCTGTTCTGCGGCGGTGGCGTTTGCCGCGTCACCGGTGTTTGGGACGGCCAGGTCGAATCGGTTGAGGATCGCCACTCGTGGCGGCTTCATTATGGTTCACCTCAGTCAGGCTGCCTTTTGGATGTAAGTGAAGTGGCTCCAACGTCTTTCTTGAGATGTTGTCCGAGTGTCACAAAGCGCTTCGAATATTTCAGGGTATTCAGGCCAGGGGCTCACTGAAAACCATTCAGTTTCGGGGCCCATGTCTTGGCATCATTCCACCTGGATTGGGAAGGCTCAAACCCTGGCACCTTTGAATAGGACGGGGATGATTGGCCCATGGATTTCCCCACTTTCGCGCTCACCTTTGCCTATGTTATCCTATGTTATATCAATGTTTGCAGTTGTTAATTGTGGATCAACTTGTTGTACATTGCTGAACTGAACTCAAAGCTACCGATACTGGCGTTGGACAAACAAACGGCGCATGCCCTGGACTACTTTTCATGTTGTAGAGTAAATGCAAGTGGCCCAAATCCAGAGGTAGTGCCCTTCAAAACTGGTGACCTGCACAAGCGTGCTCATGCTGGCAGCCCAACACCAACCACTCTGAGACCCACTTGCTCATCTTGATCAACTCTACAGTAGATCAGCCTCTCTCCACTTGTCATCACAGAAACGATCTCACTTCACTCAAACATGCCGGCCCCACCTCTTCTCTCCCACCTGCGACTCCTGTGACCCCTCTGGAGCCTTCGCCCTCGGCTCATCGGCCGGTACCGCCGGCTTGGTCGTGGCCGGATCGGGGCGCGGCGGGGGGGCGCGCGGCAAGGCCTTGGGAAGGAGGCCTGCAGGCTCCTGGCGGCACATGTGCGGCTTTGAACACCCTGAGGCGGCACCACTACACGGGAGGTCAAACAACTAAGAAACACTTCTATATACTGCACAAGATAATATACATATATACACATACACGAATATCGTTGAATGATTAATTGTTCAATACAGAATATTAGTATAGGAGAATACCTAATTAGGAGCTTCTCATATTTCTCACCTTCTACCTCCTCCCGTGCACCGCCCCCCTCACCTGACTTTTGAGCACAGGAGAGCCCACCGCGTCCCAAAGCGAGGTCTTCTCACCACCTGCCACCACGGGATGCGACGCGAGGCCAACCGAGTCTGGCCGTCCAAAACGGCCCAAAGAGCTGCGAGACCGGAGGGGTCTGGTGACCAAAACCAACCTATGCCTTCGAGCGAGCGATGGTTCACACTACCGAGCGTGACGTGGGCATGTCTGGGCATCTCGCAAAATCGGGATGAAGCAACTGAGGTCCATAGATAATCTGTCGAAGCTCGTGATGCCTTCCCACCTTGGGCTTACACATGTCAGGGCGCAACCGGGTGAAGCTAAAATGACGTCCTGATGGCGCCTGGCTTGGCTTTGGCGATGAATTTTTCTGCCTTGGGCTGGGCGCCGTCTGGGGGATTGGCACTCTGGCCACCGGGCAACCTGCGGAACTGGGGCGCTGTCTGGCGCCTTGAGACCAGGCACCGCACCACACCGGAAAATGCCAAGCCGGGGCGCCACCGTCCTGCTGAAAAACCTGCCTCCACCCATTTCACACATCATGAAGTCGGTTTTCTGGGGCGGTCGATGAATGCAGTACTAGTAGTTTCTTGTTACCTTGTAGTATGGCCTTCTTGCTACGAACGTCGCTTCGCTGCTCCGTTCGTCGCTTAGCTGCTCCTTGGTTCCGAGTAGTCTCTAGTTACACCGGGCCCACCGGGCCCTGATCGTTAGGAAGCAAGGCCTTGGAAACGCGTATGACCGCTGACCGTGCCGTGCCGTGATGGGCCGTTTTTTTGGATCACAAACTCTTAGTTTTCCATGCGTTCACAACTGGTCAGTCTTTCCCTGGTCTGTCTTGTATGGGCTTCGTAATAGTCTGGAATGTGGCATTCCTGGATCTTGATCAACAACATCCAAGTGAAGGATAGATCCTAAGGTCACTCGAGGCTCCGAATGCAACGTAAGAAACGACAGTTCCGAACATGAAGTCCAACAGAATTTCCCCCACTTCCCTCTTGACCCAAGACGAGTTGAAGGAAAGACACCAACTATTGAAGAATTGTAGAATGTTGCAGATGTCTCTTGTGGATCAGTTGTTCAGAATTTCCGTCTGTTTTGTGCCACCCTCTGTCTGCGCTCGTCACGCTCCATCTTCTGAGGATGTGGCATATTGCACCAACGCCTCCGCTGTCGGAGCAGGAATGGAGCTCCGCTCTGGCCTAGGCGGACAGTGAGATGCAAGAAAACGCACCCACGCATCGAGACGTCATATCAAGATATATATATCCAAAATAATCCTGGATGCTTGATCTACAAAATGGCCAGTCATTCCACACCTGAGATGGATCTTCCATCGAATTCCCCCCCACTTTGCCCCTCCGCTCCACTTTTGCTCGCTCGGCTCGTCCGCGGCCTCGCACCGGTCGCACCTGAGCGACCGGGGGCGACGTCGGACCTGACCAGATGGTCTCACCACCTTCTGACGATATGGAGCCAGACTTGGATTGGAAAGAAGGAACGATATACTTGGTCCAATCCAAGATGCTTCTACATTTCTTGGACATCCGAAGACCAAACCAGTGCCAACTGTTGACAAATGGAGGCTTTTTGGGAAGGCCCGCGCATCGCATCAGATTCGCTATATATAATATATATTATATATAAATATATACCTAGAGCCTCAAGGACCTCTCTTTTTGAAGGTCATTCAGGAAAACCTGGCTCTCAGTGATAAAACCTGGTTTCTCAACAAAGGGGCCGTATTTTTAGCAGACCCGTAGGTTGATGAGGTCAGCTTCTGACTGTTGCACCAAAGGTTTCAATTCTTTGATTCCCTACCGTCTGAAGTCAGAAACATAACCACTCACAACCTGTGAGATCCGGATTGAAGCCGATCGCGCACTCCTGCATTGCATACAAGGCCCAAGCCCTACAGGAGGGCCACCATGTTATCTTTTTTGAAGTTGCCCAATGAACCGATAAGCCTTATAAGACAAGAAAACACACATAGTGTTTTGTGGTTCTCCATGTTTGGAGCATCGCAAGTGAATCTTATACCAGCCCTCGCTGCAACAAAAAATGTTCTTGAGATTTCTTGAGTCCACCTCGCTGGATGAACACTGGCTCGCTCTTTTTCTCGCCAAGTGCATTGGTGTGGAAGAGCCCGGACCTTGGAGTCGGGGTGCAAGTTCGGTGGGAAGGTTGAAGCCACAAGGGATTCTACCTTTAGTGCCTTTAAAGATCTTTTAGAGCAACAGTGGTCACGATTCAACAAAGGCGACTTTTGAGGTTTAGGAAGGCATTCACAGTCGTTTTATGAATTGTGTCATTCTGTATTGTTTTGTGCACGGGATGGCTTTTCAAAATCATGAATGAAGTGAAGCATTTGGCTTAAATTTGTTGTTCAGGGACTGCTTGGATCCTCAATCTGTCAATCCTTCTGCTCTCCTGCAGCATGGTTTCTTTGACAGGGCTGGCTGAAATCTGGGAGGATTCCCGGCTGATCAGGAAAGCTGTTCGGACTAGGAAGTCCATCTTCACGCTCACCGAGGGTGAGGAAGATGTGCAGATCTGTACCAAATCTGCCGGCAGGAACTTTGATGTTTTGGCCCCCTTGGTGAAGCATATGGTGGAAGATGGTGAAGTTCGCATGCATCACCTGATGTCCATTCGAGTGGAGAACCTTTGTCGTGCTCAATTGTTTGGAAATTGTTTTCTGTTGAATTTGTAGTTAGAGTCTTCTTGGCCTAGTGTTCTCCTATTCTCCTATTCTCTGGGTCAGCCTTCAAAATCTATCGCCTCAGGATTGGCAAGCTTTTTGAGAACATGGCAATCACCGTGACCAACAAGAGCCTGAACAAGGATGCAAAAATTGCAAAGAAGTTCCTGGTCCTGATCAAGCGCAAGCTTCAGCGTGGGCAAATTCCCAGGTCTCGGAAATTCTGTCAATTGTTGGCTTTGCTCGATGCATCCAAGTTTGAGGACAGGATACCAAAGTCATTCATGCTAATGCACACTGCCCGGTTCAGTATGTTGCAGACTTGAAACTCATTTTTTTTTGAGAGCTCAGTTCAGCGAGTGTGACTCTGACACTGTATGCAACAATTAAAGTTGACTGGAAGAATTTACAGCCAGTTTGATGTGTATTCTTCCTTCTAGGGTTTGATGCTCGTCCCTGCTTGCCAGGACAAGCCGCAGGTGAGTGAGGATGAGGCTGAACAGGAGGAAGCGGTTGTGCTCACTGAGACTGAAGAAGAGGAAGAAGAAGCCTCACCCACTGAAGCTGGTCCTGGCCAATCCGCTGCTTCTATGGTGGCTCAGACACCAGTGGCCCCAGCTGCCCCAGCTGAGACCAAAGAAGCGATCGTGCTCTCTTCCCAAGAAGAGGTGGAGAATGGTGAGAGGCCTCCTCAGGCAGCTCCTGTCTCTGAGGAATGCGGCCTTGCTGCTCCTGTTGAGTCGGAAGGCCATGAGGAGGGTTGTTCTCAAGTTGTGGTACCAAAGGTGGAGATGACTGATTCCCAAATACCGGAGGGTTACTATGATGAGGACAAGCCCTTAGTCAAGGAAGAAGGTAAGCTTGAGGAAGAAAAGAAGGTTGGCTGCGGGAACATGAAGGAGATGGAGAAAGAGTTGAACAAATTGAAGAAGATCCAAGCAGCCAAGTGTCTTGGATCTGCTTCACTGCTTTGTCAATATGTTTTTGTACTAGAGTTCCACTTAGAGTTCTAGAGGTGTTAGGGCCCTTGTTTGGGTATGAGATTGAACAAGTTATGTTCTGAGGAAAGCTGCAGCCAAGCTCATTGAGCAGGAGGGCAAGGCGAAAACTCTTGAGCAAGTGGCATACGGCGGTGACAATGCGGATACGCAAATCGCACCGGAGCTCGAAGGTATTGGGCACAGGTTTCTTGAGCTTCAGCCACCAATGGAAGAGCTTCCAGAGAGTAAGCTTGCTTCTTGTCTTTTCATTGAGGATACCTTTTAAACATCTTGGGATTGCTGGGCTTTGCTAAATCTTCTGTGTGTGAAATGTGAAAATGGTTCTGATCGTCGTGATTTTGTTTCCTAGGTTCTGCGACGGATGCAGTTTGGTGTCAAGACTGGTGGAGAAGAGGCTGAGGAGATTGCTCCAAAGGGAAAAGCAAAAGCAAAGGGTAGGCCAAAGGGCAAGGCCAAGGCCAAGGGCAACGCCAAGAACTCAGCTAAGGCAGCTAAGTCAAGGCCTGCTGCCAAAAGCAAGGCAAAGGCAAAGCCTGATGAAGCTGATGAGGAAGTTGAGGAAGTTGAGGAGGAAGCGGAGGAGGAAGTGGAGCGTCCAGAGAATGAAGTTGAGGAGGAAGTGGAGGAAGTGGAGGAAGTGAAAGATGCACCTTCAGACACTGAAGCTGCGCGTGGCAAGGCTGCCAAGGCGAAGGTGGTCAAGGGAAAGGAGACCGAGCAGAGGAAGAAGGCTGACGAGGAGAGGGCTGATCCTGAGAAGCCAAAGCGCCGTCGGAAGTCAGCAGAGACACCTGCTGTCACAAAAGGCAAAAAGACTAGCCCAAAGGATGCATTGGAAGAAGTGAAGGGGGAGGAGGAGGCCAAGGAGCCTAAGAGAAAGAGGCGCTCTGACCCAGGTGAAGCGGGAAAGACTTTCGCCAAGAGGCGTTGCCCAGCTACGACCTTTGGTGCAGCGAAGTTCAAGGCCATTCAGCAAGCCTTCTTGGATGAGATTCGTCCTTTGCTGACTGCATACTCAGCGCATGAGGACTGATAATTTTAGAAACATTCTACCAGTAGGTTTTGAATGCCTTCCTGTTGTCGCCATTTATGATGTACAAAACAAAACTGAAAAGTGGAGATCTACAGTACAACTATGTGTTCTAACTACCAGTTTGCGAAGACGTTCATCCATTTGCCAAATAAATTACACAAGTACAATCAACTACACCGAATGCGGTCCAGGATCAATTCTGGAGCTTTTGCAACAAGGAATGGGAGAACCATGATGTTACGGAGACCAATGTCGGGGACATGGCCAAGTCTGCTGCTGCCCTTTACCTGGCCCGCCACATTAACTGAGATGCTGGTGGTACAGATTGGTTTGGATCGCAGGTGCTAGGGATGCACTTTTTGCTAGGATCCACCGGAAACTTTGGCATACAACACTAGTCAACCCTGTCTGGCGCAACAAACAGCTGGCGTTAGCTGGTATTCTCTGCAGGGTGTCGAAGCCTGTGAAACTGAAACTGTGGCATTCCAGAATACAAAAACTATATAAAAACTTGGTGAATTACTTCTTTACTCGGGGGCCCCCTTGAATCTGTTTAGTGTTTTGCAGGGGGCTTGCAGGCTTCTTTTGCAGAAGTTCCGTGCCAGATCGTCAGACCTTTTGTGAGGCCTACGGAGGAAAAATGTTTGATCATTTGAGCCCTAGATGACATAAAATGCTCGACATGAAAACAACTCTTCTTACACTCCTTCCCCGTCCCCAAGTTTCCGCTGTGGCTCCAAGCAAGCTGGATGTGCTGCAACGGCTCAGGTCACATCGATGGATCCTCGCAATCGTCCAACTGACTCGCTTTGGAAGGGTTAGCCGTGCGATTGCATGAGTGAGTCGATGCAACTGGCATTCCAGCTTCACTTCATTGAATTTGAAAGGTTCAACGAATGGAACGCTTTAGCTGCTTTGTTTTTCAGCCTGGCCGCCCAGCATGTGGCCCAGAACACTAGTTTATACAGATTAGAACAACGGTCCCATGGCTCTCGATCGGTCAATGACCCCCAAATTCGAGTTGCTTCTCAAGCGCTTGCACGCTATGGGAGCACCAAAGGTGGGATCATGACACTGTCTGTCCCTACCCCGCCCCCCTTCTCGATCCTTGGCTCTCGCAGGTGTTGTTGGGCTGCATCATTTTGCTAGCCCTGAACTCGAAGGTTCAGATCTTCACGGAGGTCTGGGATAATGGAACCGAAAGCACAAAACTCTGGCAAGTACAAGTGCATCTTTTGCATTGAGATGTAAAACCCCCTTTTCTTGAGTTGAAGGCCTACACCTTCCTAGAGCTTTTTTCGGGCGCTGGGTGGGTCTCAAGATGCATGCGTACGGGTGGCCAACCAACTTGCAGCCTGGACATCTTAGCTGGGCTGCCAATCCCAGACAAGCAGAACCCATGGGATCTACTGAGTGATGCTGGCTTTTCGTTTCTCAAGCAGCAAATGGATGTGTCTAAAACATGTTCAAAAACCACTTCAGCCAAAACCACATGTTAAACCCTCTGATCAACCATCTTCAGGGTCCCTCTTCTCGGGAGTCCAGTGGGGTACAGCATGGTTCAACCTTTCCTCACCCAAGCCTCATGGGATCCTTTTTGTCGTGTACTATTGGCTAAGCTGAGTCTGAGTGAAATCTCTTTGTGATATACGGGTCCTGTTTTGTGGGTGGAGTTTG